CTACTCTGCTGCATTTCATTAAAATATAATATACAAAATTTTAGTTAAAAAAATAAAAATAAAACAAAACAGTACACTTGGCTTACATTTAATTACTTTTACAAATATGCTAAAGTAAGTATTTTAAATCAGGAGTATAATATCTTTTGATTATGAATAAACTATAATATTATAAATTTAGTCATAAATTAAAGTTTTTTTTAAAACCAGGAGCATTTAACAATTTGTAATTTCTGTAAGTACTTATACCTTTATTTTATATTATAAGCCGGAAAACTAGTTTCCTAATATATTTATGAAACTTATGTACAATTGTACTCGTATCCGATATGCAGCGGATATATAAATAATTCTTGTGTTATTTCTATTTTTATATTTAAGATTGTTTTAGTTATTTAAAAATTTGATTGGATTTTTAATTATTGTAACAATTATTGCCATAATAATTATGGCTGAGAAATTTCAGAATTATTTTAATTTTAAGTCTTCACATAATATTTTTAATAACTTTTATTAATTATATAAGGTTACAGTTGAAGTTTATTTTTTATTATTAATTATTAAGAAGTATAAAAGAACCTGTAAAGATAAATAATAAAAATAATTTTAATTTAACATTATTTCACCATAAATTAAAAACAATAAACATTGATGTATTTATTATTGCTTATAAGTAATCAAAATTAATAATTTTTTTTAATTATACAAAAATATACTTGGCATTTTGTTATGACCCAAGGTTAATTAATTTTTTGCTAATATTAACTAGATTATTATTTTTAGTAAATAAATAATATTAATTAAGAACATAATTAAATCATGATAATTAATAACGTTAATTAAATTATTGTTGAATTATACTATATTTTTAGCTAATAAATAACAATATTAAAAAATAATAATAAATGATACATAAAAGTTCTTCCAGGGTACAAAATTAATAAAAATAAATAAGTAAATAGGTAGGAACAATTTAAAATGTTATAAATTTTATTATAATTGAAATTTTTTTAATTTTTTGTTCGCCGTTTCCACTGATTTGACTTTTTATTAAATTATGCATTTATACGAGTAAGTATACTTACATAATATTTAGTTGTTCGTGAAATATTTTGCTGTTGAATTATAATTTTAATAAAATATTGCTTAAAAAAGATTATTAAGTATGTTTTTGTATAATATTTTATTTTTTCTACGGTCCACTAGTCAATAATATAATATTCTTATTCCTTCATTAAATCTAATTACAGCATTTTTTTGTAGTACCATTTCTTTAGAAATGTTTTCAATGTTTTTTTAAAATTATTTGTGTTAAGCAATTGAATATATTAAATTGGAAGTTTCAATTTTTAAAATTTTGTTTCGATCCATTTGATCCTTTTACTTAAACAAGAAGCAAATTATTCGCAAAATGGTTACGTTTCATATCAACCCTTTTTAAAAATTAGAATATTCGTTGCTTTTTTTTATTAAACTACATTATGACGTAGTGAATATAGAGTTAGTAAGATACATCGTATTAAATATTTATATTTTTTGATAAATCATCACAAATTTTTTTTTTTTGATTATTGTAGAATTCGAAAAAAATCACGTATTATTTAAATATTATTAAATAATATTTATTCGCCAAATTTTAAAATGTGGATAGCAGATAACACAATATTTTTAGTTTGGAATAAATGCATATTATAATGCATGATTATTACTTATTTCGAATAAATAAGTGTGCAAATGAAATTTAATAATTGTTTTTACCATTTACCAATACGGAAATTATTAAATTATTTGAAAGTTACATAATCGTACTAATGGGCATTGGGGTTCCCACAAAATGTATAAATACTATAAATGTATACGGTTTACGAATTTACGATAAGGAATACAATTTTTTAATACATTTTACAGCTAAAATAGTATTCATAAATATTAAATATGCATTTTATTATAAATTATGATAAAAAAAAATGTACGATATTTTAAGTCCAAGGTTGTGCACATATACGGCCTTGTCCTTAGTTTTGTTTCGAAACATTTTAAAAAAAGTTATGTAATTTTATTTTGTTTGATGACACACTATAAATATACAATAATAGAAATATCGATTAACTTTTAAATTCAATTGTAAAGTGTTTAGAATAAAATTGTGAATTTTAACAGATAATAATTTGTATTGCAATTCGAAACGGTCGAGTATTCGTCATTCGAATTTCGACTGTTATCTACATTATCGTAAAAATAAGTTGGTAAGTAACCTAATAATAGTATACAATCAGACATATCACACAAGTCCATCCGTCCGAGTGTGCACAATTTAGTTAAACACGTAATACTCGTTCCGTTATGTTTCGCGTGTATCAAAATCCCAATCGCTTCGGGCAGGTCACCTATATATTACGGGGCACGCGCATACTTTTGCTTCGACGCGCGGATAATTACGGATATTATTTCATCGCTCGGAAGAAAATAAAGTAAACCATAAACAACGCGTCCCGTTCTTCTTCGGAAAAATGAATAATAATGCCCATACCAAAATGCACAGTACGAGTGATTTACGCTAAGAAAGACGTGACCAATCGGCGGCGGTGACGTACCGTTTTGTACGAAATCATCTGTATCCATGGGCAGGGGTTTACAACACCTTTTTATGGGTCCACGGCTTTTCCGATTTAGAAAACAATTTCAAACGGCTCCCATACGGACGACGATTACGATAAAACGAACAGTTCCGCATTATCTACTGCAGATAGGGCTCCGTTGAATTATCAACCGGCGACGCCCCTGGGCACCGCCGAGACAACGCACAAGTCGAAAACTCTAGACGTCGGTACATAGGTGTGCGTTGAAATAAAAACAAAATAATATTCAAAACTGCGCTAGAACGAGTGTTCGATATCACGATAATTTATTTGTAATAAATGTAACCCACGAGATAAATATAGTTTTTGAGATATTATTTAGTATTATTATTATTATTATTATTATTGGGAGGTACGAGGTATAATATTACGTACGGAAACGCGATTTCGAAACCAGATTTGTTTTTATATTTTACTTTCCTGTAATATTATTTTATTTTGTATTATATTATATTATAATATTATAATAATTATTATATTCCACTGCGGAACGTCGAAAACCGTTTTCCCCTTCGCCGCCGATGATTCGTCCTATCCACCGGCGACCGTCGTCGACACCGACGTGTGTGTGTGCGTTTGCACCGCGCGCACGATCGACTTGGGACCGTTCGGTGGCGGTGGCGGTGAACTTGGTGAAATTTCCGGTTGCCCGTCGTCGTCGCCGCTGCCGTAGTGCCGTACACACGACACCACCTCCACCGCCACTACCGCGACCACCGTCGCCGCCCCGCCCCGCACCGCCGTCACCATCTCTACCGCCGCCGCCGACGACACGAGATTCCAAACGTTATCGGCCGCCCCGAGTCACGATAAAAACGGCGACGAAAAATTATCGACATCGTTAGCCGTTCGAAAACCCAACCGGGAAAATCGCCCGTACGGACGTCGTCCGAAACGGACGCGACAGAGCTGCTGTGCTCGCCGACGGCGATCGCCTTTCGCGTCTCATTGCTCTCGTCGTCGCCGTGTAAAATGCGAAACGCCGCGACACGATAATATCATACGTTAATTATTACGAGTTATAAGTTTATAACCGTGCAGAGCGCATCGTACGTACACGACGATCGCGGATTGATAGCTGCGCGCGTTAATACGCGTCGCGGTACGGTACTACGGTCGCCGCCGCCGCCGATGGGTGGTAACACTGTTCGACGACGTGTGTGTATATATGTGTTGATCGTCGTCGGCAGCGGCGGCATGGTCCGTCCGTTTCCTAACTGAAAACAATGGCGGCAGTCGTATGACGCGTCTCGAACCGGTACCTCGTACGTTGCACCGCCGTCCGCTTTACGCACAAGCGATTTGTTGATTTTCATCGCGAATTCGATCGGATACTCGTCCTGCGATCTGTATTTATTCGAATTTTTTTTGTTCCCGGTGCGTATACCGACGGTGTGGACGTCACGATTTTCACGTAATTATCGTAATATTACAATAACTATGACTGTTTATCGGTGGCGATACCGACGACAATCCGTACAGATACCTTAGATCGGTTTGGTTCGATCTCTGTGACAATAGTTTGCGAGTGCGTTTGGCACTCGGTAATCAAATTTCTAATTCATTATTGCGATCATAGTCATACAGGACAGATAACAATGTACGTCGACCTGACGTAAACACGGACCCAATCATTAACGATCGTCCACTGGACCACTTCTAATTTTGACGATGAGTACGTATTTTGATTTATTTTAACGGTCAATTTCGATTTTTTTATTGTTATTTACCTCTGCTCAATCATTAGTTTACGACTCGTCCTCATCTTGATCGAATTTTGAAATTATTTCGTAAAATATTAACTATGGAATTAATTGTCCAGCCAGAAACCAGTTGAATGGTATATTGTTATCAGTTGTTTATGTTGCTCATCTTTCTAGATCTCGATCGGATGTACTTAGATTAAATATTTTTGCTATATTATTTAATGTTGATACCTGTTGAACAGTTGTAATCTTGTTCAGTTTCTTCAACAAATTGTTGTTTACCATAAGAGATAACCTAACCGTCATCAATATTTATTTACCAGTTTCTTATCAGTATTATTTAAAATTCTAAAAGAAAATCATTTTAGTATCAAATAATTAAATCATAGAAAATTGGTTATGTTTTTCTCGAAGTATTCTTAAAATAATAATTTGTTTTATAGGTCTATAATATTTTGTTGTTTTATTATCATGAATTGTCGATTTGTTTACAATTTAAACTTTATGGGTTCTAGTGCAAATGTGAGTAGCTGATCAAATTCATTCTACTAAACTGGCGAGCTACCACCTGAATTGCGGTCCTGAAGGATTGGACCAAGGTGCATTGTTAGGGGGCGGCTGTGGTGTGTTGCAGCAACAATCCGCCGCCCCCGGCATGGCCGATGTCGTTGTCCATAAGCGACAAGCGGTTATCGACAGACTTAAAAGACGAATGGAAGGGTATAGGAGGCATAACCAAGACTGCGTTCCGCGCTATAGCAACGCGTTCGCTGAACAGCAAAATGTACAAGAAACATTAATGCTCAAACAAAAATATATGGAAACAAAGACCAAAAGGAATGTTAAAAAGAATGACAAAAAACCAATGGAAAATGGCAATACTATGCCGGTAAGTTTATCATACAGATTTTCTTAAATATTTTTAGTTAGGATGTATTATCTAATTTTTTTAATATTTATTTAACTCTCATTTTTTACAAATATTCGTTTTATGTACATTATACTTATTTAATTTCAGTCTTGGTACATGCATATTTTTTAGATTATTTATTATTTTATCAATATTTTAATATAATTGTAACTAGTTAATAGTTAATAATTGATTTTGGGACATAGACATTTTCATCCGGTTGTTTATAAGCGTTTTATAATCAACCATTTCAAGGTTGATAATTGCTGATGTTGGTATATTCTGGGGACTTAATGATTGATGTTGTGCTAAAATTATAGATAAAATTCTTATCTAAAAAAAAAAGTGTACTTCTATATTTTTCATCATACGGTATTAAAATAAATCCAATTTAATTTAAACTTAAATAGCACTGTAATATCAATTCATAATAATAATTATTGATCTATGATTAAACATATTTTCATACACTAAATAATAAGAGAAACATAGGGATTTTTAGTATTGTTAGATTAATATTATGTTAAGAATATTTTTCTAAGTTGATCAAAAAATTATCTTTAACTGTAAAATAGTAATCATTAGTTTTTTAGAGGTCAATTACTCTGGTTCTCAGGCAAATAAATAAAATTGAATTATTGATTGTCAATATACTAGGCAAAGAAAAATTTGACCATTGAAAATGCAATAAAAAAATTTTATGATGTGCTCATCAATTTTATTGATGTATGCTTTATTGACTTATTTTATGTGAAATCAAATCAGATTAGTTATAATAGTTATATTCTTCAAGTGTAGTGTTTTATCTTTATTTTGTTAATTATGTATGTATTTAAAGAAAAAAATTGATTTTTGGTATGAGTTTATGTTCAAAGTTGACAGTTGACTATTTCTTAGTATTTTAGGTTTAATATTGTATTAAAGGAACACCTATTTAGTGATTTGTGAAGAAAAAAATTGTTTATTTAGTGATTTTAATGAGTAGAACAAAATGTATGAAGTATTTGTTGAAGCACTAACATTTTTTTCGACTGAAAGAAACTACTTTAATAGGTAATTTGTTTATTACGAAATCATCGTTTGACTGTATAATTTCATGGCCAATTTCCTGAATTCCTAATCTGAAATTGCGAAAATTTGATTTTGTAAATACTGTGACTGCGACATTCTTAGTTTTTCTGTGATTCAACTAATTTAAAATATTTATCAAAACCGACGTCTAAATCAATATTTATTGAAAAATTAAACTACTTATGTTATTAATGTACCTGGATGATTTTCATTCAAATCTTATCGTACCACCTAAAACATCGGTTACTAATTTAATGTCATTGAATGTTCGTTTAAACTCCTGCAAACTTAACCAAATTGTATGATAATAAAAAAACAAGAAATAAAGCAGTAAAGTATTTCACGTGGAGATGGCCCAGTTAGGATAACAATGCTCCCGTAACTGAGCCCCGTACAGTTACTTATCGGTGAAAGGAAACTATGAGCTCGGACGAAATCACAATCTTTAAAGTAAAACAAACGGACATGCGCGCGTTGCTGCATCGTGTGTAATATTCGTTCGAATGGAAATGTTTATTTTATTTTTATCATCTAGTGCATTACAATCTCTTTTTTCAAATAACACAATATTTATGTATTTAATATAAAATTACTCGTAAGAACATTTTTCGCTATAGCTTATCTGCAAACAAAATTAATTATAATTCTCGATGTCGTCGTCGCGCGCTGTTTGCGCAATTTGAATATTTTTTTTAGATAACAACTTACGACAGAAAAAAAAAAAAAAATAACCAAGAAATGAACACCGAGATAGGTATTACTTTTATGTAATTTATATTGTATCAGAATATATTAATTTGTTGTGATTGTGTTTAACGTTGTGAGATAATATATAGTGGTGACTATTATTATGCACACAATATTAATACCTATGGTTATTGGCTTTAATATGAAATTCGATTTATTTGCGGGTTTTGGATTTCATCCTTGAACAGCTAATTGTAGAGCATTAACAATGCTTTTTTTTGTTAAATAGTATATGAAAAGTGTTGGGATATTTAGAAAATTAGGATGACAATAAACATGACAAACTTTGAAAAATCCCGACATGAATGAGTTTGTGGATTTACTGTTGTTGTTTACGCGCGGAGAGAGAAAGAGCGAGCGTCAGATACTCGTGCGATTCGGACGTTGACGTCCAGATAGCGTATCGTTCGAAAATTTCGTACTTTATTAATAAATTATTTCTTAATCGAGAAACCATAAACCCAGCACAAACGTCGACGCCTTTCTCTTATGGATCTGAATTTGGTTCTTCTGGCCGCGTACGATACGAGAGAACATTGTATTGTTAATTGTACCATATCAATAATGTATAACAACCATAATTATTATTTGTATTATAATACGGTTAAGACTGCGAACGACCCGACAAATACGTTTATTATTATGGTCGTTTAGGTCGGTAAGGTAAATTTCTTTAGATTTTTAGGTTACGTGCGCAGCGAAGTCGTTTTTATTAACGGCAGTCCTTCGATTCCGATATTATTATTTAGCGATAAGACCGTCGCGCCGCTCGTCCATTGTTATCGTCGGAAACACGCAATAATAATATCATCCTTGCAGGTGGCTCGTAAACACATTTGCGCCAACGCATAATAACAATATTTAATAATAATCTATACTTAAATTTAATAACAGGTAATTTTACTATCGGCCGCAGTAATTTTGTCACCGTGTAGTGTGTTTCGTTCATCGTCGAACTCAATTTTATCGGGTTTTTTTTTTCCCCCGAGAAACCCGTGTACAATACACAAATTGATTAAAACAATCATTTCGTATTAAATTACTATCGTAGATTATTCGATCTGCCGACGATATGGTACGATAAACGAAACCTATGCGTCGCGGTCGGCGCGCGCGAGCGCGTGTTGCCGTTCGGAGGAGGAGAATAGAAATTTTCGATTTGTGAAAAAAAAAAGTGGCAAAGTCAAAAGTCCAAGGCCGAGCGGCGCGCGAAACGTATTTTGTATAATATACAATAATGATTTGTGCGCGAAGTAACCGGTTAACGGCAGCGGCTAGCGAACGGGCGAAATGCATTGCGTGCAAGCGATCCCGTTGCTCGTGATTGACATGTGTCCCCTCCCCACGCGGACGGCCAACCGTAACCGCTGCCGCCGCCGTTACTTCGCCCGCGACCGCAGCACTAGTAACGCGGTGTCGGTGGCGGTGGTGTAATAATCATCGGTTCGTAATAAGCGCGCGGGGTTTGGCGTCGACGGCAACGGCTGGCGACAACGATGGAACCTGGTGTCACCTAGTACTGCGCTATGCAACTGTTCACGCCAGTGAACAGACCATGTTTCCCGTCTGTTCTTCACGTCCTGTTCGAACCGTGCGAAAAACCATATTCCGCATGAGCGCATCGACATTGTTGCACAAT